ACCCTCTCCAATTTATTGCAGAACTCCAACTACTTGTACAATATTAAAAATACACAATCAAATGCAGTAACCTGTCTAGCCAGGCCCTCAATCACAATATAGATTAAATATCAGGAAATAAACTTCTTCCCCACCTCCAGCCATGCCATGTGCCTCTTGCCAAAGCTCCGAGAAAATAGATGAACTTTGCAGCATACCTTGAAGGTTAAAATTTTGGAGCTATTTCAGATCAAGGCTGGATTGAATTCCTGGGTGGAGGACCATTCATGGAGGACATCCCTCCCTTTCAGACCAGGGGACTGACAGCTTGATTGCAGTTGTCAGAATTGTTCATCGTTAGATGCAGTCTCTCTCCGTAGATCACAAACCACTTATAGCTTTATCGTCAAAACCAACTCCTTACATTTCACCCAGAAACTAATAGTAGCCAATGCGGATCATGGCGTGCTGGTATAACGTGCTCTCTGCTTGAAACATAACGTAAGCAGGCAGCTGAATTCTGTACTTTGTACGGTTCTGAATAGTCTTTTGGTGTAGCCCCATGTAGAGTGTATTACAGTAGACTCATCTTTAGGGGACAAAGGCATGGGTAACTAGCGCCGTTGCATCCCAGAGAAGAGAGAAACCTCACCAAGCACAGACTGGAAACAGTCTTGCAGTTTACCTGATCATCTGGAAGAGTTGTCGTGAATTTAAAATCTCTCTCCCCGCTCTTTCCTTTCGCCAGTTTGCAAGCTCAAGTTACAAACAGCAGATGCTCAACCTCAGTCAAGGAGGCTTATGAAAGCTTAGCTAATGCTTCCAGTTGCTTTCCCCAGCCTGCCTCTCCCTGACCTTTGTCTTGTCTGGGTGATCCTGTGCCAGCTGTCTGTCATTCATGTCCCAGTCGCTGACACTGGCTTAGGTGAGAGACATGAAAAAGGGTGTCCTTGCCACACTGAACGATGAAGTAACTGTACAGGACTCATGAACATACGAGGGAAAGCGCTCATTATAGTAAGAGATAACAAGGAAACCCAAGACTTTGAGGGGAAATACTCAAATAAGGAAGTTCATCTTGTATCATGTTGGCCTCTTTCGCTAGTCAGGATAGTTTAGTAGTCTGAACTTCAGAGAGCGTCTATCCAGAATTCCTGTAGCGTCATGTTCAAACCCTGGCAGGAACAAGTCGCTGTCATTCTTTTAGGGCAGATAGGACTATTTATAGTTTCTGTTCAATATGTTCTTGTTTACTCTTGTGGAAGGTGCTCTGATCCCATAGTGATGGTACCATGGGATAAAAACCTAGATGGGTAAATGTAGGCATTATAGATCCATGTCTTAGTGTAAGAATCTGGGTTTTCTTCAGTCTTAGCCAATATTTCCCCTTTTTACCCTCTTGTCACTTTTATGTAGCTTGCTGTGCATCAGCTGCTGCTAGCTCCACCCAAAAGTGAGCTGCCTTCTGGCAGCTTGCGAAGTGTTCTGTGGTGCTTCAGGACAAAAAGTTCTTTGTAGATGTAAAATATTATGTTACTTAAAATCTCCCTCTATCTGCGTATACTTGGGCTATGTGCTGTACACCGTAGTCCTGTTAATTTGGAGGATTCTGTGCACCATAGGCGCTGACTCCGTGGGTACTCCAGGGCTGGAGCACCCATGGGGAAAAATTAGTGGGTGCTCTGCACCCGCCGGCAGCCAAGCTCTCATCCCCGCCTCCCCTCCCCATGTCACCTCGCTTCCACCTCCTCCCCTGAGCGCGCCACGTCCCCGCTCCTCCACCTACCTCTCAGCACTTGCTGCCACCAAACAGCTGTTTGGCGGCGTAGCAATTCCGAGATGGAGGGGGGGAGTGCTCCTGCCGACAAAGCTGCATTCACTTGCTTCGGCAAAACTTTTGTCTTTCTGGGGGGGGTAAAGTACCCGTGAAAAACAGAAGTTTTGTCGACAGTGTTGCAGTGTAGACCAGGCCCAACTGAGCTTTGAGGTGACAGGTTTTTTAAACTTTCAGGAACAGGTCCACTTGACTGGATAATCATTTTACAAGGTTACTGTCGGTTTACTTTGGTCCGTGATACTTCTAGACTACTCAGTGTTTATTTAAAGGACTATAACGAGTATTTTCTCTACTGTGAGAAAATTCCCTAATTTTATCAAAAATGTGGGGGAGATAATTTTAACGGATTGTGTTTTTGTTTTGTTTTTTGTCTCCTCCTTTTTAGGTGCATGTTACTATGATGCTAATCAGTCAATGTATGTGTTTGGTGGCTGCACCCAGAGCAGTTGCAATGCTGCATTCAATGACCTCTGGAGACTTGACCTCAATAGCAAAGAGTGGATCCGGCCTCTGGCATCAGGTGAGAGGTGACAGATGTTAAAGACCTTTGGTTGCTCTTATTCTTATTCCTTACAGTAAACTACACGAAGTGTCTTCCCTATAGAGCCACACAGCTTGATACTTAGCTTGCCCATTCCTATCATCATTAGCTTCTCTAGCTGGATGCTTTTTAGGTTGTATCTGTTGGTAAATGCAGAGTATTTTGGTGTCCTTCCATCCAGAGAACTGTACTGTGGTGCAAGTTGAATGCCTTTTCTGTAATCTAGCAAACTGTTTAATGCTACTTTGTGCTATGTATAATTAGTGACACTTAGGTGAAGTTGAGAGCCTGGATTGATAGAAGTCATTGTCCCAGTGCTGAGAGCTTTGAATAACTTTGGCGGTTGCCAGTTCAGGTATTTGGAGGAGTGGATAAAACATGTCTCAGCTGGTTACCCACGGCAACCAGGAGCGTGGGAAACAGGTACACTCATGCAATCCCCATCGTGTGAGCTAGAGCAGAAAAAGGCTAAAAGTTATTTCCCACAGTGGTTTTAAACATTAAAAATCTGTTTAAACATGTTTTTTTTCCCATATAACTCCAATTTCAGTGCGAAAGTGTAACAACTGCAGGAGTAGAGGCAGTTCTTTGAAATGTGAGGTGCCCTGCTATATAACAAGGGAAGCCAATGGGAGAACAGTGTTATCACTACTTATTTGTGTTATCTTAGTGCCTAGGACTGCCCTAGTCATGGGTCAGAACTCTAGGCTCTGTACAGACACAGAAGAAAGATGGCCTCTACCCTTAGTATCTTTCATGCTCACCCTGGAGAGTTAGGTGCAGATGACATTAATTGTGTTTTTAATCAGAAAATCCAATGTCTTGTATCTAAGGGTTAAAAATAAGCAGGTAGTGAGTGTTTAGACTTGAGCTCAAAGTGACCGATATAAGTTTCACTGACAAGTGCCATGTGGACAGCTCTCCTGCCGACGTAGCTACCACTGTTCATTGGGGGTGGTTTCATTATGCCGACAGAAGAGCAGCTACACAGGAGATCTTACAGCAGCACAATTCTCACAATTAAAAATGTTCACAATTAAAAAGGGGGAGCTGATGAAGATGTCAAGATTGTTTTTGAGGCTCAAATTGCTGATTTAAGAAGTTCTTGTATTTGAAGATCTGTCTGATAACTAATCCCTGCAGGTGCTCAGATGGTGATGGGCAACATAATCAAAACTCATAGTTTTTAAAATCTTCTTACAATGCAATAACTTAACATGTGTATGATCAGACTGACTTATTCTCTTCTTCCTCTCCTGTTGTTGCAATGCTGTGCCATCCCGAATGTATTTAATCTGGTGAGGGGTGGGGAAGACGATGCAGTGGTTCTTCATTGAGGCTGAATGTAGTATATGGCCTGCAGTTCGTTTTTATTTAAAAAATGTTCTTACTGTATTTAATGAATCCAGATACTAGCACCCAGATCTGCATCTAGATCCCTCTGTCCATAATGTGTACAGAAAAATTCCCACTGTCTTAACAAATAGCGCTCTTAAAGAGCAAGTCCTGTGGGAATATGTCAGAGTTAAGTCCCATGGGAAGATCCCCTGAGGAAATATTTCTGCATGCTGTCATCAGCACATGTGCCCAGATCAGATCGCAACTGAAACTTCAGACAAGGAGTCTAGCTGAACAGAGCACATTTCTCCTTCTGTCTTCAGATGAGATGACTCACCCATGCTAGTGCTTCTGGTGGTTGTTGCACATAGCAATTGCCTTTTGATGTCCTTGCCACAGCGTTCTCACTGCCTGGGAAAAAGAGTAGGAAATTAGAGGGGCAAAGGCAGAAAAACCGAGTAAGGACATTTAAATTCAAACAAGTCCTTGAACAAGTAAAAGGAAATGACATTTAAGGCACATGTGGAATTCACTGCACCTTGAGGCAGAGGTAAAGGAAGCAGGTGGGCTTTAAAAGGAGAGCTAATTTTATTAACACGTCGTTCTGCACAGGGAAATCAAATCTCATGCTTCAGTGTAAACTATCTGCCTATAGGGGATAGGGAGGAATCCCAACTCCCTGCCTTTCCGCTCCAGTATTACACATTTAACTCGCGACACGTTATGGGGTGAGATTTAATCTAGGGGCAGGGCCCCTGCAGGAGGCCAGATACTAGATTTGGCAAAGGCTTTGATCTGATATGGCAAATTCGTGTGCTTATTTAGAATGAATGCCTCTTGGGTAGTGAGAAACTGCTTATGTCTTGAGATTTTGGTACTGTACAATTGATGGCTAAGTGGACAATGGAATTGCTTCCAGAGGTAGTTCAAAGTACACCTTCCATTATCATATATTAAGATCCAGCTGATCCTTAAGGAAGACGCATGACAGATATTTAGTTTAGTGTCTGTGGAATTTGTTTTTCCATTTGGAGGAAGAACAAGGAGCTATTTTAATCCCATTCCATAGGCTCAGGAATCAGTTCTTTGATCCTTCCCATATTCCATCTTATCTCTGCCTCTTGGACGGCTGGTTTGTTGAGAGAGCGAGGAAGACCTGGCTATTAAAGCAAGCTGAAGTGTGTTGACTGAGGGCCAGGCTGAATGCTTTGGCAGCTGCCCAATCTAAGGATTTTAAAATGAGCTGAGAAAGGTCTTAATGCCAGTCACATCCCTACTGCCAGAATTCCATAAATGGAGCACTCTGGCTGCAGGTGAAGGGCTTACTTTGTTTCAGTTCAGACCTGTTGTCTTCACTTTGTTTTTGTCCTTTGGGGGAATTAGACTAAATGACAACACGGTTGGGTACAGCATCTCCCAACTGAGATATTGTGCTTAAGCGAGCAGTAAATATTTAGCTTTCAAAGAAAAAATTGGCTAATGCTTGCTTTCTCTGCCAAGGCAGTGGCTTTCTTTTTAAATTAACAATGTAGTTAACATTAATAGAGCTAAAAATATTAATACCCTGTAGCAGGTTTTGAAACAGAGCAAAGGGGATCCTCTCTAACCTTTATTCCCTTGCACTCTTCTGGCCACATCCCTATCCCAGCAATCTGCAGTTTCCACTTCTCCATGCAAATCTGTGTTGGGCAGATGGGAGTGTGTATAGAGGTGATTGATAGCCAGGGTCATTGGGAGGCTTGCATGCAAGCTCACCACCAACTGGAGGGGAGAGAGCCAGGGCCATAGAGGGAGACAAATGCATGCAACAGCTGCAGTGGAAGGGAGTTCAGAAAGGACACCTGGAGGTTTGGTTTAAGGAGGAAAATCGGTCAGCCAGGCTTGGAGGATTTACCAGGATTCAGGGCTGAGGTCAGGCTGGGCTGGGCTCCCTACTTGAGGCTGTAGGCATTAATGTTGTATGTGGGATCTCTGGAATATGTAGAATGTGCCTGGCCAGTGTGAAATGCACTAAATAGGATTCTTTCCTTCCAGGTGCCTAGAAACCACAACAGAACGCAGGTGCTGGGAGCATGAATCGGCTGTTAGTACATTGGGTTGAAGTAGGCTGCAGGCCTTGTGAAATGCTCTGGTGGGCTGTCGGTTGGGCACCCCTGGTTTACATTAATCAGTCCACCCGAGTGTAGCAATAGATCATGGTTGGATAAATAGACATAAGAGTGTATCCCCAAAGAGTCATCATTCTGGTTAATCTTTGCCAAAGGAACTCCTCAGTCATCTACATTTTTCTCTGGTCTCTTTTCCCATTCAGTTCATAGGTTTATATTCCGCTGGAGCCCTGCACTTGGTTCCTGTGTGCTTAGGCCTTGTGTCAAACCTGAAAATACGCTTTCTGACTGAGTAGTGGAAGCCCTACGGCACAGTTCACAGTAGATTGTCAGGAGGCCCCTGTTCACTAGTGGTGGTGGGGGGGGGGGGGGTTGAGGGAGGACAGAGGGATCAGATGTTAGAACCCAGGTGTTTATCTTAGCATCACAACCATGACAACATACCAACTGGTTCCCCAAAGTGATGAAATCCCAGGAATAACCATGACACAACAGTAGTTGAAGTCCAAATGCTGTTCAAGTATATGAGGCTCTTCAGAGCCTGCCTGCATTCCCCATTGGTTCTGCCTCATCAGATCATTCTTAGCTAAGCAGCCACCACCTCCTTCCTTGGTGCTGTCTTCCCAACAGCTACCTGGGGAGGTACAGTTCCCAAACTCCTCCCTTTCCTCAGCTTGCTTTGCCATGAAAAGTGCCCACCAGGCAATGGCCTTCCCTTCCCCCTCTGATATCAGAAGGGTTCAGTAGACTCATGGCTTACTTCTTCCTGTTTGCTGTGAACATGCATACTAAGACCCTTCCAGTCAGAGCAGAGGGTAAAACTTTCCAGAACCTGCTTCCTGGTGCTTTCCTGTCCCTATACCAGGCCATCCCAGCCTTCTATCACTGGGGAAGTGGGAGCCTTCTCTTCCTTGGCTCACAGATTCACTCTTGGGGCCCTAACAAAACATAAACAAGGGAAAACTAATTCTAGCTTTTTAAAAGCACTGACCCCTTCCTTATTCTCCAGAGACAGCTTGTCTTGTCACAGGACCCTTTTTATAGATCCAATTCCTTTGGGAAAGAACATTCCTACCCTGGTTGTAATTCTTTAGCCAAAAATGTGATGAGCAGAAAGTTTTCACTTTAAAAGCTTTATCTAGAATATTCTGGGTGGTATATATTTTTCTTAAGTAACACAGTGCTTGTATCGGATGATCGCTCCAGCAGTTGGCTTTGTTAATCACAGACATAAGAAATAAGGTTCTCTCCTTCCCTTGATTACTCTTGGGAATTTTGTTTCACTGCGCGTGCGCAGAATTCATGGCCCCCGCAGATTTCTTTGCTTCCCCGCAGAAAAATAACTTCTGATGGGGAAGCAAAGGGAAACTGCAAGAGAGGTCATGTGCCTCTCCCCGGCAGTGCAGGCAGGTCAGTTTGGGCGCCTGGAGCAGCTGGTAGAGAGACAAATCACCGGTGGGACGGGAGGCTGGGCATTCATGTGCGTGAGAGAAAGACACTCTGTCTCTCTCGCTCGCTGTTGCGGCACACTCT